GCACCCTAAGCTCCCAGCCTCTCCTTTTTTTCTATTCTGGGATTTATTTACCTTCTATAGCTGTCACTGGAGCTGAGAGCCGGCTCCAGCTCTGAGGGCTGAAGGAAGGTTTCTGGGTCTGTTTGGCTTCTATAATTAAAACTCTGTTGCCATAATAGCAGCTCTAAGGTCTGAGGCCGAAGCTGGCTGAAAGCAGGTCTCTGGAGCTTGTTTAGCTTCTATAATTACAACATAGTTGCTTAGAGTGCAGCTCAGAGGCTTGCAGCGACAGGCGGGGAACGTTGGCTTCCTCTGTCACTGCAGCAAGCAAGCCTCCTGTTCGCTTCAGCTGCATGGCTGTCGGCTGCCATCTTGGTTGGCAGTTAATTTGCATATCCTGCTGATTAGGCAATGGGAAGGGTGTCAAGGTTATGGTCAATTTGCATGATTCTCTTTTATTAGATAAGATGTTATGTGCAATAAACAATAATATTTCAAAGAAATAAGATATAATAATATTATAAAAACTGTACTAACATAGTATATCACAAAAGTTGTAGGAAATCTTAAAAATCTGCAAATAACAGGATTACGTCTATTATATTCTAAAATAGTTTTTGCTCTGGCTCTATGTTTGTTCATCAGTTTATGTTGTTTGTTATATTCCACAAATGAGTGAGCTCACGTGATATATGTCTTTCTCCGACTGGCTTATTTTGCTTAGCATAATGTTCCCTAGGGCCATCCATGCTGTTGCAAATGGTAAAAGTTCCTTCTCTTTTACGGCAGCGTAGTATTCCATTGTATAGATGTACCATGGTTTTCTAATCCACTCATCTGCTAAGTGGGGCACATAGGCTGTTTCCAAATCTTAGCTCTTGTACATTGTGCTGCTATGAACAGAGGGGTGCATATGTCCATTCTGATTGGTGTTTCTGATTTCTTGGGATATAGTCATAGAAGTGGGTTTAATGGGTCTAATGGGAGTTCCATTTTTAATTTTTTGAGGAAACCCAACACTGTCTTCCACAGTGGTTGCACCAGTCTGCATTCCCACCAGCAGTGCAAGAGGGTTCCTTTTTCTCCCCATGCTGGCCAGCACTTGTATTTGTTGATTTGTTGATGATAACCATTCTGACAGGTGTGAGATGGTATGTCCTTGTCATTTTGATTTGCATCTCTCGGTTGATTATTGCTATGACATATGTCTGATATTTTGCTGCCTATGGATTCTTCTAAGATTTTTATGGTTTTCCGTTATGTTTAAATCCTTTATCCATTTTGAGTTTATTTTTGTGTTTGGTGTAAGTTGGTGGTCTAGTTTCATTTTTTTGTCTCTATCTGTCTAATTTTCCCAACACCATTTATTGAAGAGACTATCTTGACTCCATTATATACTCTTGCATCCTTTGTCAAATATGAATTGAACTTAATGGCTTGGGATGATTAGTGGATTCGCTGTTTGATTTCATTAGTCTACCTGTCTGTTCTTGTGCCAGTACCAGGCAGTTTTGAGAACTGAGGCTTTTAATATAGCTTGATATCTGGTATTGTGAGCCCTCCAACTTGTTGTTCTGTGTTAGGATTGCTGTGGCTATTCGGGGTCTTTTTTGATTTCCATATGAATTTTTGGAGAGTTTGTTGTAGGTCTGTGAAATATTCCATTCCTATCTTAATGGGGTTTTCATTGAACCTATAGATTGCTTTGGGCGCTGTGGACATTTTAGTGATGTTGATTCCACCAATCCATGAACACAGTATATCCTTCCATTTGTTTATGTCTTCTTCTATCACTTTTTCAACATCCTGTAGTTTTCTGAGTACAGGTGCTTTACCTCGTGAGTTCAGTTTATTCCTGGGTCTCTTAATTTTTTTGGTGCAGGGGTAAATAGGATTGTTTTATTAGTTTCTCTCTGTGTGAGTTCATCATTGGTGGATTTTCTGAAACAGTCTGAGGAGTATCCTAGTAGGTGTTAGTTCTTCTTTGAGTGTTTGGTAAATCTCCCCTGTGAAGCCGTCTCTTGGATGATTAGTGACTTTGACTATGTTTTCATATGTCTCTTGGCCTTCTGTATGTCCTCTTTCGAAAAGTATCTATTTAGGTCCTTTGCCCATTTTTTGATTGGATTATTTATCTTCCTTTTCTTAAGTTGTAGGAGTTCTCTGTAAATTTTGGAGATTCAACCCTTATCGGAGATAACATTGGCAAATGTGTTCTCCCATGCAGTGGGCTTTCTTGTTCTTTTGGTTGATACTTTTTCTTTTGATGTAGTCCCGTTTGTTTCTTTTCTCCTTAGTTTCCATTGGCCTAGGAGCTGTATGGGTCAAGATATTGCTATACTTTATTTTAAAGACTTCAAATAAATTCAAACTTTGAGAAAATGTATCGTAGTTAAGTAATTCCATTAGTGTGTTGAAAACATTTAACCATTCAAACATTCAATTTTATACATAATTTTTATGTCTGCAGAATTCTAATTTCTATTTTTTAGAATCTATTTCTATTAATTTAAGAGAGAAGGGAGAGGGAGAGATAGAAACATCAATGATGAGAGAGAATCATTGACCATCTCTCTGCCTCCTGCATGCCCCACATTGGGGATTAAACTGGGCATGTGCCCTGACCAGGAATTGAACCGCGACTTCCTGCTTCCTAGGTCGGCGCTCCACCCCTGAGTCATGCCGGCTTGGCTAATTTCTCTTTTTTAAGTTCTATTTGAACATAATGTCGTGGTCATGGCTTGCTCTTCAGGTTGATGTTTAGTGAAAAGGCTCCAATTGGGAGTTTACAGGTTACATTTATTATTTATTAAATTAGGAGTAGCCCCTGTCTATGGGCGCTGGCCTCTGTGAAGTCATGGTTCCCTTCTTCCCATCTGCGCCTTCTCTGGAGGCTTCTAGCATTTAGTGTCTGCCTTCAGCAGTGACACGCGTTTACGACACTCTGACCTGTCGGGCCGAGCTCACCTCACCCACAATTGAAGGCGCCCCCCATAACCTGCTTTCCCCCCCAGGTTTCCTCTTCCAGCTCCTGGTCCTCAGAGTTGGATCTTTTCCATCTAGTGGCTGCGTGGCCGGTCACAGCTGCTGGGTCCCTGGGTCTTCCTTCCCAGCTCCCGCAGGACTGCGTCTGGCAGGCCTCCCTTCCTGACTGCCCCTTCCACAGGGCTCCACGCCCCCACCTGGTGCTGCTCCCGCCTCCTCCAGGCTCAGCTGCGCTTCAGAATGAGGGCTGTGGGATGTGCAGCGCTGCAGACAGATGTGCGGTGCTCTGCTTCCAAGGAGCCAGACGGCTGCTGGCCGAGGCGGTCCCCCTGGACTGAGAAGGCGAGAGGGTGGCTCACAGGCAGGTCCCAGTGCTGTGGCGGGCTGCTCTGGGCTGCAGCCAGCAGTCCGCGTGGCCCTGTGCCAATCCTGCACGCTCAGACCGGGTCTTATAGGGTATGTCTAGTGGCCGTGAGTGTCCTACCAGGTGTGTGTTGATGCACTGTTTTTTTTTTTTGTTTTTGTTTTAAATCCTTATTGTTCAGATTATTACATTTGTTCCTCTTTTTCCCCCCCATAACTCTCCTCCTCCCAGTTCCCGCCCCACCCTCCGCCCTCACTCCCCACCCACTGTCCTCATCCATAGGTGCACGATTTTTGTCCAGTCTCTTCCCGCATCCCCCACACCCCTTCTCCCCCCAAGAATCGTCAGTCCATTCCCTTTCTATGTCCCATATTCTAATATAATCACCAGTTCATTCTGTTCATCAGATTATTTATTCACTTGATTTTTAGATTCACTTGTTGATAGATGTGTATTTGTTGTTCATAATTTGTATCTTTAGCTTTCTCTTCTTCTTCCTCTTCTTAAAGGATACCTTTCAGCATTTCATATAATCCTGGTTTGGTGGTGATGAACTCCTTTAGCTTCTCCTTATCTGTGAAGCTCTTTAACTGACTTTCAATTCTGAATGATAGCTTTGCTGGATAAAGTAATCTTGGTTTAGGTTCTTGGTATTCATCACTTTGAATATTTCTTGCCACTCCCTTCTGGCCTGCATAGTTTCTGTTGAGAAATCAGCTGACAGTCGTATGGGTACTCCCTTGTAGGTAACTGATTTTCTTTCTCTTGCTGCTTTTAGGATTCTCTCTTTGTCTTTTGCTCTTGTCATTTTAATTATGATGTGTCTTGATGTGGTCTTCTTTGGATTCCTTTTGTTTGGGGTTCTCTGTGCTTCCTGGACTTGTAAGTCTATTTCTTTCACCAGGTAGGGGAAGTTTTCTGTCATTATTTCTTCAAATAGGTTTTCAATATCTTGCTCTCTCTCATCTTCTGGCACCCCTATAATTTGGATATTGGTACGCTTGAAGCTGTCCCAGAGGCTCCTCACACTATCTTCGTATTTTCGGATTCTTTTTTCATTTTGCTTTTCTGGTTGGGTGTTTTTTGCTTCTTCGCATTTCAAATCTTTGACTTGATTCTTTCGATCCTCTGGTCTGCTGTTGGGAGTCTGTATAATATTCTTTATTTCAGTCAGTGTATGCTTAATTTCTAGTTGGTCCTTTACATAACATCGAGGTTCTCATTAGATTTCTTGAGGATCTCACTACATTTATCGGTGGTCCCAGCAGTCTTTTCGAGGGTCTTACTAATTTATCGGCGGCTTCTAGACAGTTCTTAAAAGACCTTAAAAGTGTGGTTTTGAACTCTATATCCAGCAGTTTGCTTTCCTTCATTTCTGTCATTTGTGTCCTGTGTCTTTGTCTCCACAGTTTTTATGCTTTTTTGGTGCACCCCCTAGTTGTCTTTGTGCACAGTCTTGTTGTAGTTAAGCCTTGATTGTTGTAGGTACCACTGGGGGGTGGGGGGGATTTGACCTCCAGGCCAACTGGCTGTGTCGATGCGCTGGTTTTAAAAGGACTGACTCTTTCAGCATAAACGCCTCAGCTGGCTGAACAGAAGGGTCCCTGAGAGGAGCGCGCTGCCACGATGGTCAGGTGTGTGTGATGACACTGGGTCTGTTTCACTCGTGCAGGTCGGAGCTCCCTCTCTGGAGGCCGCGCTGAGGAAGTTTGATGACGTCTATAGAAAGGGAAGCGGAGGCACAGAGGGTGGCAGCCGGCTCACCATCCTTGCCCTTTTGTATGACTTCCACCTGGTACAGTCTCTCCGCATCTCCTACATGTTGGAAAAACTGACTGGAACTTTCACAGAGAAAGATAAGGAACTGATCCTGTTCAGGCTGAGAAATGGGGATTTTCATTGAGAAAACACGATGCTATGTCCCTGGCAATGATCAGAGAGACCAGGGCAAAGCCAGCGGGGCAGGCAGCACGTTCCAGGACCAGACCAGAGATGATGGGTCCCTCGACCTGCCTCCTAAGTGCCTAAGTGCGCAGATGCTGAGCAGCAGGTAAAATAAGTGCGTAAATGCTGTGTGATGCCCTAGCCATCTGTTATCGTCTGCTCCTGGGATGAAGATGTTTTTATCGTGAGTGTGTGAGCAAACCTTATTCCTTTACTAAAACTCGGGTATTTTGTGTGTTTAAGAATTGATTTAATTCACACTCATCTGTTCAACAAATGTTCACTGAGGAAGGCCGTGTGGCTCGGGGCTCAGGTATCAACCGACCTGGACTTCTGGCTCAGCAGTGGACAGCAATGTGACGTGAGTCTTCCAAGCCTCAGTTTCCCCTTGTAGAACACAGGGCTGAGCAGAGCTCCTGCCTCTTTTCCTTTTGTGCAGATCAGAGAAAGGGGAGGGCGGGGAGCCCCTAGGGATGTGTGAGGAGCAGGGAGAGGGTGCGTGTGGGGCCCACAGGGGAGCAGGGCTGAGGCCGGTGCAAGGACTTGGGCTTTGATCCTGGAGGCCCCTGGAGGGTTCTGAGTGGGAAAATGGCCTGGGAAGGGTTCGTGCTAACGGTCACCTTGGCTACAACGTAGAAGACGGAGGTGGTCAGGCAGGAAGACCCCTTCAGGGGTCAGAGACGGTGGTGGGAGGACTAGCTCTGTGGTAGTGGATGTGGGTGTGGGAGAGGGTGTGGGAGTTGGAACTGACCAGGCGGGGAATGGATGGGTGGGAAGGTGGGGTCAGCCCATGTTCTCAGCTGGGCCTTTAGTGGACAGCAGTACATGCAGGAGACACAGGCTGAAAAGGGAGGACGGGACCATCCTGAAACCTGAAATGCTCACTGGGAGGTGCTGTGGTCTGAGCTCTCTGAGGGCGCACAGCCCTTAATATACGCGGTGGACACTGTGAATGGGTGGGTGTGATGCTGTGTGAATTCTATCACTGAAAAGTGAATACTTGGAGAAATCTCAGACAGGGGTGTCTGGGAGGTCTCTGAATTGTTCTTGCGACTTTTCTCTCGGTGTGACATTCTTTCCAGCTGAAAAGTTAAAGAGTGAACAGGCCAGGGGTGGGGAGGGAATGGCCAGTGTCGTGGAGAGGAGGGGTGGCTCAGCGCACAGGGCCAGGAGGGAGGAGTGCAGGGAGGGGGGAGAACCAGTGGGGGGAGGGGGGAAGGGGAGCAGGAGAGGGAAGGGGAGCTCTGTGGGTAGTGGTCCAGGCCCCGGTGGAGGGCTGGCGGGGTCCGGTGCTGGGTCATGTTAAAAGGCTGCAGAGGCTGGAGTGGGGATGGTCTGCCGGCGACCATCGGGTTTATCAGCAGTGGGGGCCACGTGCAGAGTTGGTTTGTTTCTTCCCAAGTTGAAGTGATGACCATTTGAAATGATGGCTCTCTTTCTTTTCTTTATGTTTTTAAGGTTCGCTGTGTGCTGGAAACAATGTTGGTTCTGAAGAACAGTGGCGTGCAGAGGATTCCGGGCTGTGAGCCTGAGCCTGTGGAGAAACTGAGGAAATTGCTAAGAGGGGAAGCGAGTTCCCTGTGGACGTGGACCCAGCGTGGAAGGGTGGGAGGTAGTTGGAGCCGCGAGGCGGGTGCCCGGCCTGGTCAGCACGAGTTGCGAGGGATCGAATGGCAGCTGTGTTTCTGCGGTGAGACCCTGGGAGGGGCCCGTGTGCAGTGAGTCCCTGTGAGATCAGCGTCCCCCACACTTAGCCGGTGGTGCTGGACTCAGCTGTGCAGCAGAATCACCATAGACCTTCTGACCACTTTGGAAGAGGGCCCACCAGGACCGGAGGCGTTAGCCCAGCAGGAGAGGGGCTTGTCTGTGTAACCTCCCCAGGTATTTTTACGTGGGGCCACAGCAGAGACCCACTGCCCTCTCCAGTCGGGGCGTCCTCTACCCTTATTTATTTATTCATTTTTTTGAGGAGAATTCTTATTTTATATGTACTTTTATTGACTTCACAGAAAACTGGAGACGGAGCGCGAAAGAGAAACGCCAATGATGAGAACCATTGATTGGCTCTCTCCTGGACACCCCGCATTGGGGATGGAGGCCACAACTGGGACATGGGCCCCAACCAGGAAGCCAACCATAACTGCCTGGTTCTGGTTCATAGGTTGACACTCAGCCACTGAACCAGGCCGACCAGGCTCGGGTGCCGGTGAAACTGCTTGTATCAAGAAAAGAATGGTATTGCTGGGTTAGTTAGCTTCAAGGTATTCTTTGAAACTATTGGAGAAGTTGCTAAGAACTGATAACTGAAAATTTGAGAATGACTTTCTATGACCTAATGGAACCCATTTTTTTCTTTAAATCCTATGCCAAGGATGTGCTTATTGATTTGAGAGAGAGAATCATTGATGTGAGAGAAAAGCATCAATTGGTTGCCTCTCATACACACTCCCACTGGAGACTGAACGCCCAACCTAGGTATGTGCCCTGACCGGGAATTGAAGCCACAGCCTTTCCGTGTAGAGAATGATGCTCCAACAAACTGATCCACACAGGCCATGTCATGGAACCAATTTTAAAAATATATATATATTTTATTGATTTTTTACAGACAGGAAGGGAGAGGGATAGAGAGTTAGAAACATCGATGAGAGAGCAACATCAATCAGCTGCCTCCTGCACACCCCCTATTGGAAATGTGCCTACAACCAAGGTACATGCCCTTGCCCGGAATTGAACCTGGGACACTTCAGTCCACAGGCCGACGCTCCATCCACTGAGCCAAACTGGTCAGGGCATGGAACCAATTTTTAGGAAAGAAAACTTTGTTACTCCTAACCTTTGTGCATATCCGTGGTCCAAAATACAGCTCAGTCCATGGGAGTTCATGGAACACCTTGATGACTTGGCGTTGATTGAATGAGATGCAATGTGTGCAATGTGCTCATCACTGTGCCAGGCTTGTGCTCACTCTTCTGTGGTTTCAGTTGGCCTCATCCTGTTTTCTATCTCATTCTTATGTATTTTCCTTAAAGTAGCTCTAGGCTCATAAAGTTTGCATCGTTTCTCTAAAATGTTGGCCCTGAAAATTGGGAGCAGAGAGTTTCAAATTTTATCATCCAGTTAATATCTCATTGCCATAAATTCATCAATTCAACTGGTCTTGAAATCTTGATTTGCATAATGATAACGAAATAATTTTCAATATATCAAGACTCCTTAAATTATATGTTATTTGCTGTGTTCTCAGTTCAGGTCACTGCATCTATAAATTTGTTTCCAGGTTAGATCACATTTGTTGGACATTAATTTAAATCCCACAAATGAAGGCGGTTAGATTTATGGAATAGCTTCTATACAAGGAATTGATTGAGATAGTTATGAAAAAGCAACCCCTTTAGGTGGAATTTTTTTTTTCATTTTTGTTCTTTTGTTTGGGGGCAGGAATAGACTATTGGGGACTCGCTATGATTACAAGGAATATAAATGGTGCTCTATTAACCGTGATTGTTCTGTTCTAACTAGAGAAAGCACGTTCTAATGTGGTGGAGAATTGTCCGCCCTGGGACATGGGAGCTAACAAGGGAATGCAGGCCACCCTTCTTTCCTGGAATGACCTAGATCAGCAACCTCGTTGGCTGTAATCTGGTCCAGGAGCCAAAAGCTCTCTGCCAACCCCCAGCCCGAGTTGCCTGTAACCTGTAACCACTATACCTTCCTACTTTCCTGGGCCTGAAGTTTCTACTTTCCCATGGGATCTTTGTCCTTCTACCCAAGATAAGCAGCTGGCTTATGTGCGCCGGGGGGAGGGGGTAGAGCAGACGTTTGGGGGTGACCTGCTGCTCTCCCTTCTGCTGCATTCATGGAATAAACGCTCATACATGAGTCAACCCTGTCTCTGCTTCATTGGCTCAAGGAGTGACCAGCAGCCCGGACCCATTGCTTGTCCAGTTTCACTTTCAGTAATTTTATTTTTTAATATATTTTATTGATTTTTTACAGAGAGGAAGGGAGAGGGATAGAGAGTTAGAAACATCAATGAGAGAGAAACATCGATCCGCTGCCTCTTTCACACTCCCTACTTGGGATGAGCCTGCAACCAAGGTACATGCCCTTGACCAAAATCGAACCTGGGACCCTTTAGTCCGCAGGCCAATGCTCTGTCCACTGAACCAAACAGGTTAGGGCTTCAGTAATTTTATAACAGACATTGGAGCTGGATAATTCATCTAAATGCTAATCAGTACTCCCCCCCCCACCCCATCTAAGTCCAAAGATTTCATCTACTTTAAACAATTTACATTTATCTTAAGTTAAGAATGAGTTTTTTAATTAACCCAAGTAAAACCATTACTAGTTTAGAAATAATTGATTGACAGCCTAAATGTTTAAATTCTGTTCTGAGGGTGCCTGTATATTTGTTCTCTAAATGTCTTTCTTGCATGTGCTAATTTAGTATTCCTTGCACAGAAAGCTATGTACAAAGTCCTTTTGTTAAAATATTTTCCAGTCTGGCCGGCATGGCTCAGTGATTGAGTGTATCACTATGAACCAGGAGGTCACCATTTAATACCCAGTCAGGGCACATGCCCGGGTTGGGGGCTCGATCCCCATTATGGGGCATGCAGGAGGCAGTTGATCAATGCTTCTCTCTCATCATTGATGTTTTTCTCTCTCCCTCCCTCTCCTTTCCCCTCTGAACTCAATAAAGATATATTTTAAAAATAAATAAAGTATTTTTCAAATATACAGCTTTTCATTGTTCATTTTTCTTATAAATTACACATTAGTGAGTGGTCTGCCAAATTGTTTTTTAGGCAATTGACTGGTGGACTTCAGGGGTTCTTATGTATGAACTATTGACAGTCAATGGGGAGAATTCCCGAGCTGGGCTCTCTAGGTAAGACTTCACAAAATAAAATGAATGTGTTGTTCCCTGAAAGGAATGGATCAAATTTCTGTAATGTGGCAGATGGGGAAAAAATAAGTTTTTGAAACGTGGATAGACATATCAGAATGAAGTGGTTAATTTCCATTTACAGTGGTATAGGATCAATACATATAACCTTTATGTTTCTTTATATTTTATGTGCCAGCTAGATCTGAAGCTTCATGGGGAGGGTGTCCTAATTTTTGTGTATTCCAAAGCAGTTAGCATGGGGCATGAGCCTCTGGCAGAGACGGTTAGAATGCAGGGCCTAGAGCAGTTTGGTTGGGGGGCCATGGAGACAGTGGAATGTTTGGTGCGGAGTTGGTGGGCGTGGAGTCGGTGGGCGTGGAGTTGGAGGGTGTGGAGTCGGTGGGTGCGGAGTTGGTGGTGCGGAGTCGGTGTGAACTGTCAGTGTGTGAAGAGTCGGTGTGAAGAGTTGAAGTGAGAAGAGTCGGTGGTCGTAGAGTCGGTGAGTGCAGAGCCTCTTCCTGTGTGAGAAGGGACTGTCCCTGCCACCCCCTCGGGGCTCTTGTGAGGAGTGAATGTGCAAGGACAGAGGGCACCTGGCGCAGGGCCGGGGATGGGCAGAGAGACGGTGCCCAGGTGACTCCCGAGTCTGTGAGCAAACCCTTCCCGCTGCCAGGCTTTGACCAGAACCGTGTCCACTGGCGGCAGGTCCACGGCTTCCCTTCTACCAAGAACCTTGGGTTCTGGCCGGTGCGGGAAAGTGAACACGAGATGGAAAAGCAGGAGCTACTGCCCACTCCCAGTTGTTAGAACTGTGCGTGGGGCCAGCCTTGGAAAACTGCCACCTAGAGCAAGGGACACGTCGGGTGCATGCGTGTTCCCAAACTGTGAAGGCACTCAGGGCAGACTCAGCCCTAGGACACCAGTGGTTCTGGGAGGGCTCCTGGGCGGGAGCAGAGATGAGGGGAAAGAGCTGACCGGCTCCGCGTGTGTGCTGGGCCCTGGGACCGGAATAGGCCCCGCGGACTCCTCCCCTGAGGGGGCCTGCGAGGGACCAGCCATGCGTCCCACACCCAGCATGTGCCTGACACCCAGGGGCCCATAGTGCTGTTTGCTGTGCCTTAGCCCTCATTTCCGGGAAACTGCCCAGAGCTGTTGGTTTTCCAAGAGGCTGTGTGTGACCTGTTCACATGGCAACTGGGTGTTGAACAAAAACTCACTGGAACAGCCATTTATTTCCAGCTCCCAGATCAGTGGAGTGACCGTGGAATTGAGAGGCCGAGGCTCAGCCCTCACACCCGGGATAGATCTTAGCCCCACCCCTTCCTTGTTAGGGAAACGGGCTCAGGGAAGTCCCGCACCTGTCAGCAGGTGCGCTCATCCAACTAGACGAGGCTGTACATGTCAGACACTCTCGCATCCTGTGTACAACAGATGGGGGCAGCTTTAGGTTTATGTGGTGCCCTTCTCTGATTTTCTGCTACTGGGCTGGGGCTGCTGCCGACACAGTGACCTGCTGCCAGCGAAGAGTCATATGCTAAGCTCAGTGGCTTAAGTGGGCAGCAGTGAAGGCCCTCAAAAGAGACGGCCTGCCCGGCTGGGCCAATGCCCAGGTCATGGGCTCCATGCCCAGGGGTGGCTTGTGGGAAGCAGGCGATCAATGATTCTCTCTCATCACTGATGTGTCTATCTCTCCATCTCCTTTCCTCTCTGAGATCAATAAAAGTATATTTAAAAGAAATATATATATACACTAGCGGCCCAGTGCATGAATTTGTGCACCATTGGGGTCCCTTGGCCTGGCCTGCGGGAATTCGGCTGAAACTGGCTCTCTGACAGCCCCTGAGGAGTCCCGGATTGCGAGAGGGCATAGGCGAGGCAGTGGGGACTCCATTGGTGTATGATCAGTGCGGGGAGGGACACAGGAGGTTGGCTAGTGGTGAGGGACCATAGGAGGGCCCAAGGGCATGTCAGGCCTGTCTAGTTCAGTCCCAATCAGCCAGACCCCAGCAGCAAGCCAACCAGCCAGTTGCAGCGTCTGCCCCCCAGTGTCAGTGCACGTCATAGCAAGCTGTTGAGTGGCCTTAGCATATCATTCGTGTATTATGCTTTCATTGGTTGAATGGATGACCGGACACTTAGCATATTAGGCTTTCATTCTATAGGATGTTAAAAAAACCAAACAAACTGATAGGGCCTGAGTGCTGTGTTGCTTTCTGTAAGGATGGATGTAGGTGGGTGACTGGCAATAAGGGTCTCTGCTGGCAACGAGGATGTGGACCGAGCTGTGATTTGGGAGTCCCTACGGCCTTTCCAAGACATGGTAAACCAGCTAAGGGGCCTGAGAGCCGCCCATCCTCCTGTCACCTGCTTTACAGCCCTGTGCTGTGCGTCACTTTGCTCAGACACCACAGAGGCCTCATGGGTCTTCATCACCTACCACTGGGTCAGCATGTCTTTTAGTGGCTGTAGGTCTCCCAGCGGGACCCTGTGTTGGAGTCCCTTCTGTGCAGCTGTGCTCTAGGAAGTGAGCAGGTGCATGGAGGCCCTTCATCCTGGGGAATGAGGGTAGCTGCACTGGGGCGGGGCAGGCCAGCGGGTTCCATGGTGTGCATCCTCACCCACCCCTCTTCCTGCACTAGGATCGTGGACACATCCCCCAGCAGTTCCTTGAGGAGCTGCTGGGGGACATCATGGCCCTCGAGGCTGAACAGGTCCAGAGGAGGAACCAGCCCGCCCACCTGAGCTGGGACCTGGAGCTGCTGATAGAAGGTAGGCAGCAGCCCCTGGCACCGGGGAGCCAGCCTGGCTGTGGCTTCTCCCTCACCCAGGGAGCTGAGCCCTTGGCTCTGAATCTCCTGGGTCAGCCCACCCTCAGCCCAAGTCAGTAGGGTGTGATTCAGGGGCCATTTGGGACCGTTTCATTGCCATTCTCCCCAAGGGGAACATGAGGGGCCTGGCAGCCTTGAAGTCAGGACATGAACTACAAGTAAGTGTTGCCAGATTTCTCAGCGCCCGTGCGGACAGTCCCGGGAGCTTCCAGGTGACAGCACACTGACCCCAGAGGCTGTCTTAGATCTGTCCGTGGGGGATTGAAAGCTCTGGATGGCAGGGGCTTCCCCAGTGCTCACTGACCTGCATTATAACAGAGGCCTGGGCTGATTGCCTCCGTTCCTGTCATCCCCGGGCAGATGGGTGCTGTCTGCTCTTTGTCTCCCTGGGCAGGGGCTGCTCAGTGACCTCTCCTCCCGAAGGACCTCACCCACGGGTGGCAAGTACTCGACACACGCGCCCCCGATCCTCTACCCCCAGCAGACCTACTGGCCAATTACCATGCCTCCCACTCCCCAGCTGAGCCCCCCAGACCCCCGCACTCTGACGGCTGGCCCGGACCATGCCATGTCTTTGCCGACTCTGTGAGTCTCTGAAATCCTTGACTTGACAGTCAGGTTAGAACTTGGCAAAAAGTGGTTCCAGCAGTTCCACCGTCTTGAACTTCTGCTTTGGCCCCTCCACGGTCACCTGCCTTCTTCTTAAGCTCTGGGTGGCTCCCCTACCGGACCCCAGCTGAGCCAGCACAGGGGCCACAACCAACAGCGACAGCAGCTTGTGAACGACACCCAGCTGACCATCCCCGGCCCTCACACCTAGGCCTCGGGGTGGGGGGGTGGCCGTCTGGGTGGATGGTCCTCTCGGGGCCAGAGTCAGAGAGGGGAAGTGGAGGCCCTGGAAGCTGGGCTCTGACTCCACTTTGCTCTTCAGCCTGCACGCGGATCATCGATTTGGAGGAGAATACGGGTACCCTCCAGGGCACAGTAAAGACACTGCAGGAGGAGAACCAGCAGCTCCGGAAGGAGGTAACAGTGGGTGGTGTCCGGAATATACGGGCAAGCCGGTGGCCAGGTGTCCTGTGGGGTGACAGGTTTGGGGTTTGCTTTCAAGCCAAGTTCACTCTGTGACCTGACTGTGGCACGGGCTGGGTCTCTGGCTCTGCAGGTGGCAGAGTTGGGGACCCAACTCACCCAGGACAAGGCCAACAGCCAAAAGGAAGAGCTGGAGGGCGAACCCCCGTCTAACATCGCCAACACCGTGAGGCCCTCCAGCGCCACACAGGTAGGCCCTCCAGAGCGCATGCCCCCCTGGCGCCCCCGCCTGCCCGAGGGGGCCTCCGGGATCACAGCCGTGTCCTGGTCATGGATCAGTGACTCCTGGGTGACCAGTGCCCTCGCTCAGCTGCAGCTCAGACCAGCAATTCTCAGCCGCTGCCGGCCGTGGGGGCAGGTGTTGCCTCCCAGGGACACTGGCCATCTTGGTGGTGGTTGACAGGACTGGGGGGAGGAAGAGGGCGGTGCTACTGGCTGTGCCGGGCAGATGGTTGTTCCGTAAATATCAGGGTCAGTTGGCTGCTAGTGTTGTTCAGATCTTCTGTATCCTGACTAATGTTCTATGTACTTTTTATTTTTCTCTTCTTTTGAAAATATTTTTATTGATTAAGTTATTACATATGTGTCCTTATCCCCACATTACCCCCTATTGGTGGGGGCAGGGAACTCATGCGCTCAGCCCCCTGTTGTCCGTGTCCATTGGTTAGGCCTATATGCTTGCATATAAGTCCTTTGGTTGATCTCTATGTACTTTTTAAAAAATAGGCTTTTACAATGGGTCACAGGGGGCAGCCAAGGAGCTGATCCAGAGAGCAGGCATCCTGTGCCCCTAAAGGTCCCGTGTGTGGAGAGGGCGCAGGGCTCCCGTAGCACCATGTGCTGGTCCGTTCATGCCGTGGGCCCGGCCAGCGCAGTTCCTTCAGTGCTGGGAGAACCGCACTCAGCACGGCTGGTGCTGCCTGTCCCGAGGGTCCCTGCCCTTTTGGGGTCTGCACTTGCCCTGCTCTTGGCCCCTCACTGCGTGTGGGGGTGCAGGGATGCGGGGTCATTGGCTCCCCGGGGCCTTTACCCAATGAGGCATCCTCACCTTTTCCCTCTGGGCAGGAGGAACCTTCCAGTCTGGGCCCCCAGAACCAACAGGGGGCGGAGGAGAGGGAGCTGGGGGAGCAGGAGAAGCAGCTGCCAGAAGTCCAGGAGGCCCTGAAGCAGGAGCAGGAGGCCAAGGCCCTTGCCGCCGCCGCCGGAGAGAACAACGGAGAGAAGGAGAGGCTGCAGCAGGAGCTTCAAAGGTAACCGCCCTGCCCCTGCAGCGGTATCTGCCGCGTTTCATTCACACCAACTCCCTCAGCTCTCGCTGAGCTCAGCTCAGGTGAGTCCCCTGGTATGGTGCCCTTTCACCCGCCCTGTCACGGTCACAGCTGATGGTCAGGAGGGAAGGGCCTCCAGCTGGTGGCTGGGATGGAGCATTGCCCAGGTGTGGGTGACCGCCCCTCCCACATGGATGATGGTGATGACTGTGTCGGGCACGGGCATCTTCATCCTCTCTCACCAGCCATTCCAGAAGGACATACGCTTGCTCCCCGTCATTCCCGCGTTCCCTGTTGGCGAACTCACCTCCTCGCTGAGATGCGCTTGTCACCCCCCATCGGTCTCCATGGCCTGTCAGGGGCCTGTCCATAGGGCGAGATCCTGGAATCGCCTGGTGTGCACATTTGCAGCTGCGGTTGAACAAGGCCTCTGATTCCTGCCTGTTTCAGCTCTCACACTGCACACGAGCGTCCCTTTCACAGTCCATTGAGTGCCATGGAGTCCTCTTCTCCTGCTTTCTGGTGCTGTTGGCTGTGAGCATATGACACAAAGCGTCTTTTTGTCTTGATTGGTTGACAGAAATGTGGCCAGAGACTCACAGGAACTGGTGGGGACAGTTGCAGTATACACTGCTCAGTGCTCGCGGGGGCTCCATAGGACATTATACCGCGAATCCTGAGAATTGACTGCGTTTTTATCCTTCTTTTCAAACAGATGAGGAAAGAGGCTCAGAGAGATTCAATAACTTGTTCGGGTCAGTCCTGAGTGTAGTGGCCCAGTCAGGATTCAAATCCAGGTCTTGTCTCAGCCCAGAGGCCTGACCGCGGGAAGCCTTCCTTCGCACAGCCTTGTTTGAATATGTTTGGGGCTACAAAGTCAGGTGCCTGCGGGGCCAGGCAGGTCCAGCAGGTGGGGAGGGAGTGTCAGCAGCAGGGCAGGCCCTCCTGGAGAATACACACCCTCTGAAGGCAGTCAGCTGCGGGGCAGACCCGGGCTGCCAGGTCATCCTTTTATTTCTACTTTTTATTATTATTGTTATTTAATCCTCATCCCAGGATACTTTTTTCATTGCCCTTCTGAGAGAGTGGGAGGGAGGGAGGGAGCGAGGGAGGGAGGGAGGGAATGATAGAGGGAGAGAGGGCCAGGTCCCAGCCTGGGGATACTCTGCCTTTGCCCAGCTCTTCCCCCTCAGAGCAAAGATGTTCTGATTCCATGTTTTTCAAAAGTGTTTCAGTCGAAGAACCCTTTTCCAAGGAGGCAGACATGCAAAGCTCAGTGTCCCTGCTCCTAGGAGTGAGTTGATTTCAGCAGCAGGAACTTCAACACAGAACAGGAAGCTGCTCTTTCACGAGTGGGGAAAGCCATGTGGAGCAGTGACCAGTGTGTGGGGCCCGCACCCTTCCCCTCTATGCCAGGTCCCCTGTGCGCACCTCCCTCCCAGCTCTGAAAGAATTTAGAGTTTCTTTCCGGCCTTCCTCGGGGTTATCCTCTGAGGGATGGCGAATGCCAGCTGCCATCTCCTGTTGAAGGGGCAGAGAGTCTGCATTAGAGCCACTGAAGCAGGACTATCAGGCTGTGTCTCCAGGTTTCAGGACCTAGAAAGCCATGTTTCTGTTTTGGGAAGGAAGCGTGGGCCGGACGCGTGGGCCGGACACCTGGGCCAGCACCCATGGTCTTCAGTCACAGGAACCTCTTGGTCTTCCCTACATTCCTCTGGAGTCTCTGGACCCCAGGGTGGTTCTCAAACACGTTCCCTTCTGCAGAGCAGCAGCTCCGGTGGTGGGTGGCTCGGTCCCCGAGGCTGCGGGCTTCCGTCCAGCAGGCCTTCCCCTGCGTCCGGGCCTAAGCCCCAGGAGCTGGGCCTTCAGATTGTCCTGCCCCAGCCCAGCCTTGCGGGCAAATCACCATGAATCCTGCAAGGGCTCTCTGTTGACATCACAAAACCACATAATTTCCCACCCTCCTCCTGTCCCTTGTGTTGGCGGGGACATTGAGGCCTCGATGAGGAAAGACTCGAGTTGAGTCAGCACAGTGTCGCTCTGTGGCAGAGCCAGGATTAGAACCAGCTGCGGTTCTTCTTGTGACATTAGAATGCCTCCATTTCCGGTTAGCTGCACTGTATTACCCTTTAAGTTCACTGTTTTCATTTATCAATTTTTATTTTACTATATATATAAATATATAGTATATTTTAACTGAATTCAGAGAAGAAGGCTGAGGGCGAGAGAGAGAAACATCAGTGATGAAAGAGAATCATTAATTGGCTGCTTCCTGCACACCCCGCATCGGGAATTGAGTCTGTAACCCGGGTTTGTGCCCTTGACCAGAATGGAGCCCAGAGCCCTTCAGTCCTTGGGGTGATGCTCTACCCACTGAGCCCAACCGGCTAGGGCTATTTTAATTTTGCTTAATCCTCACCTGAGGATTTTTTTTTCATTCATTTTTGGAGAGAGTAGAGGGGAACAAAGGGTTGGGGGGAAGAGAGAGAGAGACATCAATGAGAGAGACATCAATATGAGAGACACATTGATTGGTTGCCATCCAGCACACGCCCCCAGTGGGCCCAGGGATAAAACTGCAACCCAGGTACAAGCCCTTGACCCAGAATCAAACCCTTGACCCTTCAGTGCTTGGGCCACTGCTCTAACCCCTGGGGAACACCAGCCAGTGTCCACTCTTTTCCATCCACATGGCCCACTGGGCCCATCCTGTTCCCCCCTCACCCAGATTCCTCAGTGCCCGGAAGGGGCTAAGTCTGCCCGCCTGTCTCACCTATTGGGAGCTCCAGCGGGAAATGAGGAGGCCCTGACTCTCCCTGACATGGCCCTGGGATGCACAATGGCCAGCACACCTAGCTGAGCACAGCACCTCTCCCGGTGCCTCCCGGTGACGCAGAGTGGAGGCTGCATGTGAGGTTCTGTTTCCCGAGAGGCTAGTGCGGGTTTCTGCCACAAGGAACGCTTCTCCCGTGCCGGAAGCCGGTCCATCCTTGCTGCTTGACACAGTCGCTGCAGGAAAGAAACATCTGCACAGCATATGTTTCAAGGGACCTGGCGTATATAGCATACTGTTCTTAATATGTTTGCTCCCCTTAGCGCTGTGTGTTTTAACCAAGGTCACCTCTCCAAGAAAGGTTGTTTCCCCAGGTAGGAATTTTTCCCTGAAGTTAGGGAGGGGATGAAACTCCTTAACTAAGTGCCAGGCGGGTAGTTAATCACTTTACAATCATGCTTAAGCTACATAATCTTTACTCCCTGGAATGGAGATAAGAAACGCCCTAACCTTTGTAATAGAAATTGACAGGATTAAAATCAACTGTATAAATACGGATGTAACAAGACAATAAACAGCAGAACCTCTCTGGAGATCCAGACCAGAACTTGGCTGGAGATCCTGGCTGGAGATCCTGGCTAGGCTGCTGATCAACTGAACACTGTCTCCGTGTCCTTCCTTCTTTGCCAACTCCGTCTACGCCTTTGGGAACCCCTGGACCTGCTGGGGTTGGACCCCGGCACTCCCGTCCCTGGGTCTGTGCGAATGAACTGCCAATGGTGCTCCACGCCCTGAGGCCACATGCGATGATCCTGGTGCTGGCGATGCAGATTCGCGGGGAACCTGGTGCTGAACCCCAAGGGAAGGGCCGCTTCCCCGGCTGGAGGGGCAGTGGGGGTTGGCAGTGCCCTAACCCTCTACTCCTAATAGGAAAAAGCGCTGGAGTCCAGCCAGAGCCATCCTCACATTCCTCCAACGCCAGAGAGACGGCTCACGAGGACAAGCCAAGTCACCCGCAGACAGCCTTCCTGGGCCCCTGGAGGCCACCCCCTCGTGCTCATACTGGGAGGAGAAGGGAGACGCCCGCAGTGGGCCCCACCAAAAGGTAGGAGGGGCT